TGATCTGTTTTTTTCTTGTAATATCTTGTACTGTAATATCTTCGTGTGATTTTGGTATCAAGGTAATCTTGGGCCTCATAGAATGAGTTAGAAAGTGTCCTGACAGAGTATATGGAATTTTCTGGAAGAGTTTATATAAAAGTGGCATTATTTCTTCCCTAAATATTTGACAGAACTTACAGTTAAGTCATCTGGGCCTAGAATTTTCTTTGTGGGAATTTTTTTTTTTTTTTTTTTTTTGATGGATCCAATTTCCACAAATTTCCTCAGTGTGAGACTTTGCCTTGAAGGAAGTTTTGGGATGGTTAGTTTGGAGAATTTGTAAAAGATTAAAGTGTGCAGAACTCCTCTGGTTTCAGCTCCTGTTCTCAGGTTGACCCTCTGGCTTTCCAGTGAGTTCTTGTTGGTTCTTTGGGGAATCTCAATCTGAAATGATGTGTGGCTTTTCTCAGTGTCCTCCCTACGTAGACGATGATACCACTCACTCTACCTTGTTATCTCTACCCTTATATTTTCATTTTGTTGGGTCTACCTTGTTAGTTTTGTTGTGGGGTGTTATCCTTGAGTTTTTTTTAGCTAAAGCACAGCTAGACCCTAGTTGCTTGTTAATTTTTTTAAATATATTGTAAAAATAAAGATTAAAGAGATGGATTGCTATGTCCCTCAGGCTGGAGTGCACTGGCTATCACAGGCTGATTGTAGGCATACCATAACCTTAAACTCCTGGGCTCAAGTATCTTGCCACTTCAGCCTTCATGTAGCTGGGACTACGGCACAAACCACTCGCACGGCTTCTTGTTATTTTTTTGTCAAGGTTGGGAGGAGGGATTTAGGAAGATCCAAAAAACTATGCTGCCACTTCCACTGTCTTCTGAAAATCTTCTAAAAACAATTTTTAAAAATTAAAAATCTTGGGCCAACATGTGGCTCACCCCTGTAATTCCTAGCACTTTGGGAGGCTGAGGCAGAAGGATCATTTGAAGCCACGGAGTTCGAGACCAGCCTGGTAAATAATGAGACTCTGTCTCTACAAAAATTTTTTTTAAATTAGCTGAGTATGGTAGCACATATCTGTAGTCCTAGCTACTCGGGAGGATTGCCTGAGCCTAGGAGTTCAAGGTTACAGTTGAGCTATGATCATGCCACTGCACTGCCGCTGTGCAGCAGAGCGAGACTCTATTTCTAAAATGAATGAATGAATGAATGAATCAATATAGTAACATATAAAAGAGGATAATATGTTTGAACAAGTGGAGTCATGCGTTAAACACTTTTCTTCCTTTCCAGTGTTTTGTCTTGTCTTATTGCATTGGCTAGAACTCCCAGTGTCCATATCAGTAAGAGTGCAAGAATTTAACCTTTCATTGTTTTCAGTCTTTCATCATTATGCTTGATGTAGTAGTGATTTTTTAAGATACCCTTTATCAAGTTGAGACGTTCTTTTTTTTTTTTTTTTTTTATTTCGGCATGTTGATGGGTACAGTTTTAAGGTTTCAATAAATGCCATTTTTCTCCCCCCTCACAAGTCTGGAGTCTCCATCATGACCATCCCTAGGATGGTGCACATCTCATCATTATGTATGTTTATATACCTGCCCCCCTCCACCTCCCACCTGCCAATACCCTTTATGTAGTACCTATGTGACCACTTAGGTGCTGTCAGTTAATACCAATTTGCGGTGAGTACATGTGGTGCTGTTGTTTTTCCTATTCTTGGGAAACTTCACTTAATAGGATGGGTTCCAGCTCTAACCAGGAAATATAAGATGTGCTATGTCACCATTGTTTCTTAGAGGCTGAATAGTAACTCCATGGTATACATATACCACATTTTATTAATCCATTCTTTTGGATTGATGGACACTTGGGCTGTTATCCACAGCCTTGCAAGGACGTTCTTTTTATTCCTAATTTGGTTGAAAGCTTTCTTCCTGAATTGATGTTGAGTTTTGGGGAATGCTTCTTCTCCATCTATTAAAATGGTCACTTTTTTTCTTTAGGTTTGATATGATGAATTATGTTGATTGGTTTTCGAATGCTGAACCAACTTTCATTCTTGAGATAAATCCTAGTGTCATGATGTATTTTTTAAATATAGATATTGCTGGTATATTGCTAAAATTTCATAATTTTTAGTCTATATTCATGAGAGATATTGATCTGTTTTTTCTTGTAATATCTTGTACTGTAATTATCTTCGTGTGATTTTGGTATCAAGGTAATCTTGGGCCTCATAGAATGAGTTAGAAAGTCTGCCTGACGAGGTATATGGAATTTTCTGGAAGAGTTTATATAAAAGTGGCATTATTCTTCCCTAAATATTTGACAGAACTTACAGTTAAGTCATCTGGGCCTAGAATTTTCTTTGTGGGAATTTTTTTTTTTTTTTTTTTGAGCAGAGTCCGCTTTGTTGCCCAGGCTAGAGTGAGTGCGTGGCGTTAGCCTAGCTCACAGCAACCTCAAACTCCTGGCTCGAGCGATCCTTCTGCCTCAGCCTCCCGAGGTAGCTGGGACTATAGGCATGCGCACCATGCCCGGCTAATTTTTTTATATATATATCAGTTGGCCAATTATTTCTTCTATTTATAGTAGGACGGGGTCTTGCTCTTGCTCAGGTTGGTTTGAACTCCTGACCTGAGCAATCCGCCTGTCTCGCCTCCCAAGAGCTAGGATTACAGGCGTGAGCCACCGCGCCCGGCCTGTGGGAATGTTTTTAACTGTAAATTTAGCTTAATAGAAATAGGGGATTCAGGATATCTATTTCTTCTGGAGTGAACTTTGGTAGCTTGTTATCTTTCAAAGAATTTGTCTGTTTTATCTAAGTTAAAAAAATTGGTGGCATTAGTTCATTATCACTTTATTATTCTTATAATGTCTGTAGGATATGTAGTAATGTCCTCTCACTTCTTCATATGGGTTATTTCTGTCTCCTCTCTTTTGTTGATAAGTCTCTGGAGAAAGGCTTGTTTTATTATTTTTATTTATTTTAATCTTCTCAGAGAACCAACTTTTGTTTTAAAAACCTTTAAGAACCTTTTTTCTTTCCTAATATATGTGTTTATTACTGTAAATTCCTTTTAAGCATGCTTTACTGCATCCCACAAATTTGGCTGCATTTTTGCTATTTGATTTCTAAGTTAATTATATTAATGTTGGGAGAACATGGTCTTTATAAAAATGTCTTTGAAGTTTTCAAGAATTTATGGCCTAATGTGGAAGATGACTATCAGAACCTATTATTTGATTTACATTTGATGAGAAATATTAATATTTCAGGCTTTATTTTTGGAGACAGAGTCTTGGTCTGTTGCCCAGGTTGGAGTGCAGTAGAGTGATCATAGCTCACTGTAACTTTTAATTCCTGGGCTGAAGCAGTCCTCTAACCTCAGCCTCCCAAGTGGCCGGGATTACAGGCAAGAGCCACTGTGCCCAGCCTGAGGTGTT